GAGAACCAAGAACTGAGGGACCGCAATGCGGCCCTCGAGTCGGCCAACCGCGAGCTCCAGACCGAGAATAAGCACCTGTACGGGAAAGCTTGTGTTGCCGACGAGTGGGATCAGTGGTTCGAGCAGCAACAACAGGCGGGGTACCTTACTGGATATCACCGCACCCCTGCACAAAGCCCATCTGGCAGGGGAGGATCTACCCGTAGAGGTAGATCCAGATCTACCGGCAGTTACATCTCGAGGAGTTCGACACCGAGATCAAGGTCCGGAAGGCTGGAGGGACGTCACCCCGGCAAGCACGGCCAGAGATCAGGAACGCCGGGAAGGAGCAGTGCCGATCCTGGACCAGGACATGCTGGCCAGGAGACCCGTACCGCCAATGCGGACGGGCTGGATCCAATGGACGCTGTTGCGGAGGAGGTCATTAACGCGATCCCCGGGATCGACGATGAGCCCGACGACAACACTCCGTGGGCGGCCAACTTGACCTTTCCCGAATTGGTGGATCTGGCACGGACCATCAAGAGGGAGCAGCTTGAAGCCGGGAATGGGCTCAAGAACAAAGACGGCTGGCGAGGCCCCGTCGGTCGCGGAGGCGGCAACGATCGCACATTGCTTCATAATGTGCGATTTTGGTGGAGACCACGAGGTGGCTCCACTTTGGCCAACTACCGCTACGATTATGCCTTCGAGCAGTGGAAGAAGACGATCCTTCTCTTCAAGCGGGGTGAGTTAACAATCCTACTTCGGGATGTTGACATTGATATCCCCTGTCCATCCGTAGAGGAGGACAGTGACGTAGCGGGCGAGAACAAATTCCTTTGTCTCGCGAGGCCACCTCTAGGCGTTGCCGGCCAGAGGATGCCGTTTCACTCTACCTATAAAGGAGAGAAGCAGCCCGAAGGGCAGAGCAAGAAGCGCACCGCTTTTGGCGCATACACAGGGGAGCGCGCAGGGCTTGGTTTAGGTTCGGGTACTAGGAACGCCCAAATACCCAAGCTAGGTGAGCCTCTAGTCCTGAAGCCAGGCCCCGGTGTAGCAAGCAAGAAGAAGCCGCAACCACCGAGTCTCCTTAGTGCGCAACCTGTAGGATCCGGACCTCCACAGGAACTTGAACCGAAGCCGGTCAAGCTTGAAAAGAAGCCTAAGGAAGACCCTGATGACCCAGGTTGGTTGCGAGTTCCTTCGGGTGCTAGTGGTTTGAGAGGTAGGCCCCTGCCGCCAAAGCCCCCTCAACCCAAGAACCCGAAGGCCAAGAAACAGAAACGTTGGGCATCGTGGTCTAGTTCAGGATCAGACCCCAGCTCTGAATCCGATACTATTGCCCAGCAGTTGAACCTCACCTTGAAAAGCGAAGCTAAGGATGAGGGAGTAGTAATCGCTTCAGAATCACCGAAGAGTGCTGGATTTAGGTCTGTGTGTTCAATGGCAGTGTTGAGTAAGGGGAGGCGTAAGTTGATAACCAAGGGTATCAACGAACTAAGGGACCATGACAAGGCCCTTAAGCGCCTGTTAGATGTGAGCAACGTAGGAACCACTATTGGTCCTAAGCATATCGTTGTCTTCACTAGCGAGCCCCAACACTTCCAGGACCCAATGATCCACTGCATCAACGTGGGCCTGAATGCCACGGGCGCCTGGACACCAAGCGGTGCCAGGAAGGAGCTGCAATCCGTAAGCCCTAGCCTTGTCATAGTGGCTGTAAGGTATAAGGACCCGATAGACGGCCTTAATCACTCCGACCTTATAGATGAGGTTGTTAGCCATTCAGAAGCATCTGGCATTCCGTACCTATTGGTGGACAACGCTCAAACCTATAGGTGGCAGGAAGCTAGCATCCCTATCCAACCTGTGTACGGAGTAGGCGACATCTCCTACTATGGCAACGATGGTGGGATTATGGATGTATTCGATGGCTGGACCACGAATAGTTATCCCTACATGGCCCCGTTGAGTTTTGACAACGTGTTTTCCGTAGATTTCGTTGTATGGCTTCGTCAAATAGCAGAACACCAAGTAGCTACTGCACTTGTTTCTCAAGAAGCTTACCCGGCTCTTGAAGGTGACGAAGAATCCTTCGATCAGGTGGAAGAACCTCGCGACTTCGCGTTGATGGACCCATCTGAGGAGGCCATCGAGGAAGAGACCCGCCTCGACGACGTCGACCTGCGAGGACTACCCATAGAGGAGTCCGAACGCCGCGCGAAGTGGCGAGCAGTACCACAACGAATACGTGTGGCGATCCGGCGGTTACACCGCCAATTCGGCCATTGCCCTAAGAAGGTTTTAGTTAACCTCTTAAGGACCGCTAGGATCGATAAGTCGTACATAGAGGTAGCTCAATTTCATAGGTGTAATGAGTGCGAAGACGCCCAGCCTCGTAGGAATGCACATACCGTATCCATGCCGGAACGGTATTCCTTTAACCACGCCCTGGGTATTGATATCTTTGAATGCTTAGATGCACAAGGCACTAAGTATCAAGTTATGAACATGGTGTGTTTAGGAACGTGCTTTCAGCTTGCGGAAACCGTACGCGTAGGCGACGGGTTACCTTCTTCAGCCCGCTGCCTTGAGGCCATCCAGCGCCGCTGGACCGCATGGGCCGGTATGCCAGGGATCATACGATGTGACCGTGGTTTACATAATCGTGGCGTACTAGCGCAATTTTGCGCAGCTCACGGCATTCAAGTACATCACGCGCCACTAGAAACACCCGAGTCAATTGGCCGAGTGGAACGCCACCGTGGAATCCTAAAGGCGATGACTCGCAAGGTAGTATCGCAAACGCAAGCCGTAGGCGAAGTGGCATTGCAAACGGTCTTGGATGAGTGTTGTCTCACCAAGAATAGTATGCTGAGACATGGCGGATATTCCCCATCTCAGTGGGTACTCGGGAAAACTCCGCGTGGACCTCCATCTCTAGTAGAGGAGGATAACGCCGCCGACCTTGGATCGTTGAACGACCAGGCTGATCCCGAGAGCCGTTTTGCCCTAATCCATCAAGCTCGGGCGGAAGCCAAGAAGGCCTTTGTTCATTTGGACACCTCAAAACGCGTGCAACGGGCACTTCTTAGGAATGCCAAGCCATTGCCGTACACGTACTCGGTAGGAGACGTGGTTTGCTTTAGGCGAGATAAAACAGGTAAAACTAGGTCTAAGGGTTTCCACGTCGAGCACCGGGGTGGTGTTGCGGTCGACGGTCCTGAAAGGTACCGCCACCTAAGGAACGACCTTCCTTTAGGTGAACGCCACTGTAGTGCTCCACAAGGGTAGCAGCAACAGCTTCAAAACTCCGGTTGCCTGCTGTGCATGCCTTAATGACAAGGCACTCTTGCCGAGTCAATCCGGAAAGCTCCAGTAGCAATTCTACGCATCTGGGAAGGATGTGTTAATCGACGTTACCGATAACACTAACAAGATTACCCATATTGACATCAAGGCTGGCAGGAAAAACTCGGATCTTATTGACCGAGGTGAAGAGCGTCAACTACGTTCCGTAGTCGGCAGCCTTTCGTGGATCTCTAGGCAGGCTAGGCCAGATATCCTGTATCGTGTATCGAAGCTCCAGAGCTCGATAAAAGGTGCAACTGTTAGTACTCTCCATGAGGCTAACAAGGTCCTAGAACTTGCCTTAAAGGGTCGCGATCTTAAGCTAAGGTACAAAAATGGGGCATTTGACTTTGAAAGTCTAGGCGTACTGACAGCTTCAGACGCTAGCTTTGCAGGGGAAAAGGGGGACCGTTCACAACAAGGACGCATCCATTTCCTCGCTCCAGCTGCCCAGCTTCGCGATCCAAATTGTTGTCGTTACGACACAATGATCGTGTCATTTTCATCCACTACAATCAAAAGAGTATGCAGAGCAACTCTTCAGGCTGAGACCTACGCTCTCCAGAGTGCTCAAGAGGCAGGGGACCGAATACGAGCAGCGTTGGCCGAAATCTACGGATTCGGTAGCTCAGGCCCCGAATGGGAAGTTCGTGCGAGAACGCAAGTACCGCACATAGCGCTGACGGACTGCCGCAGCTTAGCCGATCATCTCAACACGGAGGCTCCGTCCCATGTGCAGGATAAGCGATTGCAGATCGAGCTTAGCGCTCTTCGACAATCCATCTTCACGGACGACGGCGCACGCACCGTCGATGTCTACCCAGCAGGAGGAGACAGGGTGGACTGGATTGACACAGCCACTCAAGCCGCTGACTGTTTCACAAAGTCTATGAAACCAGACTTCATCATAAAGCTGATTGAATCTGGTGAGTACAGCATTAGCAGGGCTAAGTTGTAGGTGTAGACCGCAGACGCTGCACTTATGTGGACATACCTTGTATGTACCATAGCAGCTGAGTCAGTGCTAGAGTAGCATGCAGGCACCACTTCTAGAGGACAACGCCGTTTGTACCTCATGTGGTTAATTCAGATTTTCCTCGGTGTCATGGCATGAGAACAGGTTGAGTGTGAATGCACCTTCTGTTGTACATGTACAGGTAGCCATGACCATGACATGCATGCTGTATTTGACTGTATTATATCCCGCTGCCGTTAGGGCCCTTGAGTCATACTGAGATAGCTTCGCAGTCGGCGAAAAGATCTGACCAGTTCTCAAAGTGACCTTTAATTCCTCCAGGATACTGGAGAAGCAACAAAAGTACATGAGACGGCCGTACCCTAGATTTACGGTAAGCCATGCATCAGTAGCCCTTTTTATGCCGGGGGGTTTCTATTGTGACTTTGATGCGAGGCGAACACCTAGTCACCCCGAAACCTGCCGTAGGCTGTCAGGGTCAATATCAGAGCCGCCTCGGGGTGCCGCACCAGAGCTCTGAAGCCGTGACATCATAGAAGCCCCGCCGAAACACCCCCCAAGCTTCCCTTAGGGTATACACACGGAGATCAGAAGAGTTGATGCCAGCACATAGTATGTATCTGAAATCCGAAACCCAATGTAGCACCCTAGGGCAGGTAGGTACGAAAGCATGACTTACAGCGGCCTGCAGGCATTGCAGCGAAGGTGCAAGCTTTTGGAGGCCAGCACCAGGTTCTTTAAGGGTCATTATGAAGCTTGGAACCTTAGTCTAAGGATTCTTGAAGGGTCGCCTAACAAGGAAGAGTTTTGAAATGAGGGTTCAGTGTAGGGGCCTTAATAAATCTTATTAACAAAAAGGGAGTCCAGAAGCAGGGTGAATACGGGGCAATAGTCAACGACATCAGTATGAACAGGGCTTATGAGGCTTCTTCGGTTGAAAAACCTTACCCGGGGGCTTAACCGTTTGAGCAATGTGTGGGGTATATCATATTGGACTAGCAATAGGAATCCGAATCGCCCCCATAAGTATTACTCCTTGTTCACGCCCCCAAGCGCGACCATTAAACCCTCACCCAAACCCTAAGCCCTAAACCCTAACCCTAAAGACGAGGCGCCCAAGGAGAGATCTGCAAGCCACGGCACTGCACCACGAGTTCAGGACTTTCAGGACCCGAACCCAATCCCTGGCTTTGCTGTACTCGTACCTGCTCCCCTAAGGCTCCAAAGTAGTTCTTTTTTGGGGTTCATATATAGAATCCTATAAGGTAATCCCAAAAAGGACCTACTATGGAGCCTCTGGGTATAAGCCCCCTATAGCTTAGAGTAGTATAGGGGAGTTATTATAAGTATAGTACACTGGGCCCAAAAACCCTATTCTAATTATTACGGCCTATTCGGGTACCTTTATAGATCCCTTATAGACCCCCTTTAAAGGAACCTTATTCTAGTTCTTAAGGCCCCCTTAAAGGAACCCAAGCTCGGAGCCTGGTGCAAGAACTCATAGCCCCAGGTTCTCCACCTAAGCAAGGGATCGAGGCCACAACCCCCCACGATGCAAAGCTCGCTTTACCTCTGCAGCCAGTCTTCACTTTTTTTACTGAATCTAAATTATATATACACACATAATTATGTATATTATATAGTATATATATACATATATATATATATATAAGTATAACAGCTGCGAACAGGTAGATCAACAAGTAAAAAGACAAAGGTAGACAGCTGTGAGAATTCCAGAGCCCTGAACCCGCAGCCCAAGAAGGCAGAAGCTCAGCGGGTTACCGAGTCCAACGAGCAGTTGGCTCCGGAGGTTTGCATCATTTTGCATCTGTAAAAGGTGGATAAAGGCGTCTTTGAGCTTCGTCTAGGTGCTTCGGTCTTTGAGATTATGGAGAGATTTCAGTTATGCTGTTGTCGATTTGCGGGCAGGGTGAATGGTGTAGAGGCTGTATTTATATTGACTTGCGGGGTCTGTGTCATGTTTATATGGACGGGGTGTATTCAGGAAAAAACTGCCCAGAGCCCGTAAAAGGCCAACTTTGCCAGGTCTCACAACGAAGTCGTTAATGGTCGTGCAAGGTTGGTTGTAGTTCGCAGTACAAAGTTAGGTTTTAAGTCCTGACGTTTAGGGTTTTGGTGCCGCGAAATGACAAGCAGGAAGCAGAGCAGCACGCAGGCGCCAAGATTGGAAAGATAGAAGGACGCAAAGTGTACAGAGCCCCATCTACTTTTCAAGCTATCGTGCTCCGGAATTGCGATTGCACCCTTTGTACAAGGCCCGCCGACACTTGCGATCCCCTTTGCAAAAATCAAAAATGTGTTTCCAGCTGCACTAGCAAAGCCCGAAGCTCGTAAACCCGTTAAGCGCTACCAGAAAAGCTTCCATCCAGTTAGCTCCTAAGCGAGAGCCCTCAGCCCTAAGCTTTCCGTAAAAGCAATGGTGGGGTTCCTGCGACTTAGTAGCTACAGTCATAAGTACTCTAACTGGGGTCACAACTAACTATAAGTATAGTTACCGTAGTTATAACCCTAGTTGCTAAGTCCCATGAGCCATTAAGCAATGGTGGGATTCCGTGATCCCGTGGGAGATGTGGAGCTGTCCAGGTGAAAGCAGCAGACAAGTCACAGCGGTCGCTCAAGAAGCTTCAGGCTTCATGCATCCATCTACATAAATACATATATATATATATATGTATGTAAGCAGATATAGATTTATCTGTATGTTTGTGTACATACGGGATGTATGTACGTAGGTATGTATACCTGTATATGTATGTATATGTATATATACATATACATATGAATGCATGCATGCATGCATGCGATTCCAGAGGCTGGGCATTCTCAGGCAGAGCATGGGCTGCAGCAGCAAGGCTCCAAGCAGGAGGAGGCAGTGGGGAAGACAGAGGTTTTTTCGACCGCCCAGAAGACGGCGACGGCGGCTCCTGCAGAGACGATAGCTGCGATGGCTGCACCTGTATGGAAGGGCGCACCGCCACAGAAGAGAAAGGCTGAGGCTTCCGATGAGTTCGCCAGGCTTGGTGTCAACCGACCTCCTCAACCACCACCAGCTGCGAAGGGGCAGCAAGTCGAGGCGGAGGCATCCTCGAGCAATGGCCCGCCAAGGCACTGGATGGACTCGAGACGGAGCACGAAGCTTCAGAGCGGCTGGCAGGCGAGAGCCATTGCCATGACAGCGAGGGCGAGCATTTGTATGTCTATATCTACACATACGAAATTGTTCATACACTATGTGTATAATATATGCATGTAACTTGTGTGTGTATATATATACACATACACGTATAGATACGCACATGTGCATATACATGTATGTATGTGTGTATATATGTAGGAGTGCGTGGCTTCCTTGTCCAGGGACTAAGGTTTAGCTCGTACAGGGTTTGTCGTTGCTTTCGGAGCAGACTGGGTTTGGTTGCTCTGGGCCCTTTTGTATGAAAGGTTTGTTCCAGTGGTTCGAAGTCTATCAGGATGAAGTTGTGGAGCGTTGTCCATCAAGGCTTGGCATACCCTAAGGATCCATGTATTCAAAAGATAGATACTTTGGGCCCAATGTACCTATATGGGGACTATTGTTTTAAGGCCAATGTATATACTATATGGGCACATGGACCCTTAGGGGTAGCTGTAATTACATGCTTCCTGGTTCAGCCATTTGGTGCAGGTGAGCTTGGATTGGGAATTGCTAGATCAATCTATGTGAATCTTTCTGCTGATGAACAGCAGATCCAGAAAATTCCGAAAGCGTCGCCAAACTGTTCTTGAGGCATACCCATAGGCTCCGGCTACCCACATTATATAAAACTAATTTAAGATCAGCATGCCGGTAATCGGCACCATCGTGATCCTCCTCATCAGAGCCAGCATCGTCACCAGCCAGTGGCAGCACCAACTCCTCAGCTGCCACAGCGGATACTACTATGACTGCTTTGACAATCGTTCTGTCCGCCATTGTCTTGAGAAACACATGTTCACGTAAACATACATGACATGTATATCTATATATATATATATATATATATATACACTCATGCGGCTCATGCGTATTGTTCAGTCCCGACATACCCGCAGCAAGCCCCTGCACTGCTAAATTTATGTCAATGTAGGCTGCATAGAAACATCCGCAGCCCTGCACGCCCCCAACTTTAAAACCCCAAAGCCCCTAGACGCATCCCAGCCAAATCCCCTTCAAGCCTTGAGCCCTATCTGTTGCGACCCCTTTAGAGGAACCACCCCCCACCCTGAACCGGGTAAAGGAACTCCTTAAAGGAGACCCGTAAACGAAACCTTAGAAGAAACATTCGAGCGCTCTCCAGGAACCATTCAAAAAGAAAAATGCATAAAGGAGCCCTCCGAAGCACTCGAAATCCTGAACCCCAAGCCCTTAACCATAGCACCAAAGGCCCTGAACCCCAAACCATCAAACCCTAAACCGTAAACCAGAGGCGGCTGTCCGGAACTCCGGAACCCTAAATCCCCTTAAACCTCTAAACCCCAAACCGCCTAAGCCAGAAAAACTGTCCCGAACCCTGAGACATACAAGCCCTAGGCCCTGAAGCCTATACCCCTGAACCCCAAATACCCCCAGACCCCTAAACCACCTTAAACCCTTAAACCCCTAAAAGCCCTATAAAACCAAAAAGTCTGAAACCCTAAACCATTAAACCTTAAACTAGAAAAAATCTGAAACCCTAAGCCCTTAACCCTAAACCATTAAACCTTAAAAAAACCAGAAAAATCTGAAACCCAAGGCCTAGGATGCCCAGTAGTACCCTTATTCCTTTTTTGTAGTCCTAGGTTCCTTATAAAGTTATTCAATACCAAACAGAGAGCCCTTTTTATTCCTAGGTTACTGGGCATCCTAGTAGTATTGGTAACTATACAGGCCCCTCTACCATAGAACCCCACTATAGATCCCTTATAGAACCCTTTAAAGGAACCCTTTAAAGGAATCCTTTAAAGGAGTCCTTCAAGGAACATCCTAGAAGCCCTCTTTGCGAGGCCAAGCTTGAAGACCGTGAGGCGGCGAAGTTGGCGCTGGAGAAGGCTTGGGTTTCAAGGGGGGGCTTTAGGGGTTTAGGGGGTTTGGGATTTTTAAGGGTTTGGGGTTTTGAGGGATTTATTATGGCTTATTAGGGTTTAGGGTTTAGGTTTTGCTTGGGTTTTCAAGGGGGTTTAGGACTCTCTAAAGGGGTTCCTTACAAGGGATCTATAAGAGGGATTCCCTCTAAACGGATCTATGAGGGTTCCTTTCAAGGGATCTATAAGGGTACTAGAAGTGCTTTAGGGGGTCAGGGGGTTTGCGTTTAGGTTTGGGTTTAGGGCCGTTTAGGGTTTAGGGATAAGGGTTTAGGGATTTAGGGTTTAAGGTATCTAGGATGTACTTGTTTATCATACGTACACTGGAGGAGGCTGGGGGTGAAGGGTTTGAGGGTTTAAGGTTTAGGTGTTGGGGGTTTAGGTAATATGGTTCAGTGTCTAGGAGCTTAATAGGGTTTTGGGGTATATTGGGGTTAATAGGGTTTAGGCAGAAGGGGGGTTAAGGTCATAGGATTAATAGTAGTTACTAGGCTTCTTTATCATACTCATACTGGAGAAGACTTGGGGTGAAGTCTGGCTTTATTGTGTTCTTTAGCATTTAGGGGTTAAGGTCGTAGGATGTAATAGGGCTTTTCTTCGGTGGGTTCACAAGGTTTTTTGTATGAGGGTTTAATGTGGTAAGGTTTTAAAGGGTCTTGGCAGGTCATATGAGGGTTTTGTAGGGTTTGTTTCATACTGAGGGGTTGCACGAGTTTACGGTAACCAGGGCCTTTCAAGCGTAGCCAGGCTTTTCGAAGGAGTTCCGTAGGGCTGCACAAGGCTGTATAGGCGTTTTATTTTGTAGGGGTTTAAGATAATCAAACCTTGTAAAATGCGTAGTAAGGGCTTTTTTCACGGTTTGGGTTCCCATGGTCTTGCACGTTCCTAATTATGATTCTTGATAGGTGCAGTGCATTCATGTTGCCTGTTGTTAATTCCAGAGCCTGGGCCGCAAGGAAACCAGCCCCAAGACCTAAAGCTAAACCCCCCATACCCAAACCCCCAAACGCAAAACCCCCAAAACCCGACCTCAAGCCCTCGCTGAAAACCTAGTACAGATGCCTAAGTATTTGCCAACCTTATTCCCGTAGGGTTCCTTATCGTAACTACAGTATCATGTACTCCATCTCCTCATATACTGTGACTGTTTCATGAGATTTTACAATGTACCCCGAAACCTTAAATAGTTTACAATAATGTTTCTCAGAGTTCCTCCGTCTTATTTCACAATGTACCCCAAAACCCTATGCTAAACCTTAAAGTAGAACCCAGAAAGTTGGAACATCATTGTCCTCATGCCCTTAAGGTAAAGCATAAGGGATCCTCGCACTAATCCTCCTAAAGCATCCTACAGCCATGTTCCAAGTTTCTGGCATCTACTATAAGTCCCCCATGTTACATCAACCCAGGAGTTGGGCACCGCGTCTGCCTGCGTGAAGGTGCAGAGCGAGAGGCAAGGGTTCCGGCTTTGCGGTTCATAGCCCTGTTTTAGTATTAGGGCTTAGGGATACCCCAGGGCTCCAAGCTTTCAAAGAGAATTCGGAGCTCCTGATGTTAGATAGTATATACTTTGGGCCCAAGTGGGAAACGGAACAAGACTTTGCGGATCGAAGTATATAGATATAGATATAGATATATGTATATATATATATACATACATACATTACATTATATTATATTATATTATATTTTATTTTTATTATATCACATATATATATAATAATATATATATATATATATATGTGTACACACGCACCCTGGGAGCAGGGTTTCAGTTTCGGCTGCCAGGCTTTGGAGTGTAGTTTCGAGTTTTTAAACCATTGTAAAACGTCATCGTCATCATCATCTTACTTTAGTAGGACTAACATGTGCCGTTGGTGTTTAAGTATTTCAGGGTGTGCCCGCTCAGTAACGCCTTTAATCTTAGGGCATGTTAGATAAGGCGGGTTAAGGGTTCATGTTAAGGGTTCTGGGTTCCATAAGACTGCTTGGCTACCGTTGAGTAAACAAACAGAAAGCATCACATCTCACAACTGTTATTCCATGATGAGTCCATAGAACGCAGAGTTTACTGCACAACAGTGACTCGTCGAAGTAGTAATCGTGGTTGTGGTGGTGATGGTGGCGGTGGTGGTGGGGTGGCCAATGCCCTCTCGCGCCCTGGACTCCTAAACCTGCTAAACTTACACTCGATGCAATCTACCTTAGACTCATTACCACGAAGTTGTTTTGTGGTTGGTCATGCTGCTAGTGAGACCAGAGGGTACCTAGCATGCTAGGGTCAGCCCGACCCGGGTGTAGGGTTCAGGGTACCTGACGCAGCTTTGAGAGTATCTAATTGAAATAGTTCCCTCATTTTCCTGACCTCTGCAGTCCATGCTTAGACCTGAGGGGGGTACCTACCCGCCTGCACCTTTCCCCCGCATGCCCGATGCTTGCAGGCAGAAGGTGTCTTCGGGGGCAGAAGTCCAATCCCAGGGCCGGCAAAAGGCCGGCGTTGGTACGGCTGATTCGGTGCAGGCTTAAGTTAGGGACCCAAAAAGCACGTAAGCATAAGCATTTTATGGGGATATCCCTGCCTCATTGGGCTTCATTATAAGGGGGTTTATATTATATGGGACATCCCTTTCCTAATTTTGGCTTATGTGCTTTTTTGGGGGGCCTATTAAGGATTGAAGCTCAGGGCTCCAGTAACCAAAAACCGCAGGTTGCTACAACTGCATTCTGTAGCCCAGTGATAGTCGCTGCCGACTTCCTGAACCCGATTATCTTATTGGCTACACCCAACTGCACCGTACCCTGAAGCTCCGAACCACAAAACATTGGATCCCACAATCTTCTTGGAGGATCCTGGGGTTTGTTAAATATTATAAGGCTATTACTACCTTCATTGGGGTTAGAACAAATTTCACATGAAGTTACCTTCTTTTTTTTGCCCTAACCACTAAGCCCCACGAACAAATGAAGTAAGCTAAACCCCCACAGATGGCTTATAGAAGCCTTCTCGGAGCCCTTTAAGAAACCCTGCAAGCTACGAAGCCCCAGGGACCTCGGACCTCGCAGCAAAACCCTAAACCCCTAGACCCCTAAACCCTAAGCCCTAAACCCCAATCCTTAAACACTAATCCCTGAACTCTGCTAGACACCTATAAACCCTAAGCCCGAAACCTTAAACCCCTAAACCCCTAAACCCCAGCCCTCCCAAGCCCCTCAGGTTAAGGCCGCTATATCAAACCCTAAACCCTAAGCCCTAAACCCCAATCCCTAAACCCTGAACCCCTAAACCCTAAGCCTTAAACCTTAAACCTTAAGCCCTCCCAAGCCCCTGAGGAGCTTCAGAAGCGCGTGGAGGAGCTTGAGGCGGAGCTCAAAGGAGCGCAGGCCAAGGAGCACGCAGAGAAGGCTCGGGTTTTGGGGCACTGGATCTCTGAGGGGTTTAGGGTCTTAGGGTTGATGGGTTTAGGGCTTGGGGGGTTTAGGGGTTTAGGGTTGAGGGGTTTTAGGGTTTGGGGGTTCAGGGTTGAGGGGTTTAGGGCTTGGGGGTTTAGGAGTTTAGGGTTTAGGGGTTTAGGGTTTGGGGGGGTTTAGTGGTTCAGGGGTTCAGGGGTTTAGGGTTTAGGGGTTTAGGGTTGAGGATTCAGGGATTCTTGTCGTTCCAATCTTCAAACCCTCACTGCTCGCACTGTCGTTGGCATTGTTGCGAACGTCGCGCAGTCGTGCCGGCGGGTTGGTCTTGAATGTGGTCTTGCTGGCCGTGTCACCTCATGATCATATGGGTTTCTGATGATGATGGGCATCATCATCATCGCCGTCGTCGTCCAGACCGTGACTACACCCAATCAAACCCCATTGAATCCTTTTGGAGTCTTCCAGTGCACGGCTCACGGCACCGAAACCCTGCACAACCAGGGCTAAGATCCACTAACATCACTATCAAGCCCATATGGCATTCCTCTTAAGCCCTCTTGGACCCCTCGAACGCTCTATCTTAAACCCAAGAGTCCGTATAATATAATAGGTAAATCGTCGTTTATAGACCTCTAAGCCGCATTGTAATGATTACCGCCCTATCCCTACATAAATCCCTATACCTCCAGGCCGCGGCACAGAACAAGCAGCACGACGAAGCAATTGCCTGGAGCCCCAGTTGCCAGATTGAATGGATGGGTGGAAAGTGGTGGAAATGTTCTCTGCAGTAAGAGTACCCCTGTATAGCCCTATAAAATTATGGCAACATGCACCCCGAAACACCATGTCATTTAATACTCAGCGCTCCTTTTCTCAACCGTTTTGTTAACCCTTATAGAACCCTTTAAAGAAATCCTACGCTAATTATCGAGGCCCCTGTAGTAGGGATGTAGGGCTCCGCGCATGCATTTTCGTGTCCCGGGGTTTTGGTTGGTTTAGGGTCTTGGTTGTCGTGGTTCAGATTGTAGGGATGTACAGTATGAGCCCACAACTGGGAAACCCAATAGCCTCAATCCTTTTGAGTAGTGTAATGTAGGAACCTGATTAAGAAACCCTGGGCCTATATTATAACCCCAAAATAGTAGGATTCATATATTATAGGGAACCCTAATAAAGGCCCAAGGTTCCTTAATCAGGTTCGTACATGATAGGGAATCCCAGCACTCATTGTCCCCAAGCCGGTTCCCCAGTTTTTGGTTTCTACTATATGCCTTAAGGTTCACAGACTCCTGGCAACACGGCTCCGGCAAGTCGGGATGGATGGTTAGGACACTGACTCCAAGACTGATGCATTGGATCATGTTATCCTGCGTACCACCGGCTTGCTTGTTGATATGTGTCTTTCTATGTTCTGTACTCGTAATCATCAGCACGTGTCGGACTTCTAGTTTAAGTTCAACTTGCGTTGACTCTTTGGTTGTGAACTTAGCTGTGCATTTAGACTCTGCTTGTGCTTAGTCCTTCGGCTTCACGAGCTTTGGCTGACGCTCTATGGCCAGTCCTATGAATACCTATTTCCAAAACCCCAAATCCTTACAAACTACTCTAGACACCGAGCCCCTCTTGAATCCCTCGAAGCTCCTCTTACTTTAAGCCTAAACCCCGAAGTCAAAAGCCCTAAACACCCCGTTCCTAATAAGCGCCTGAGACCTAAGGCGAAGGCCGAACAAGAGAAGCTCCAGCTTAGCCAGCGCCTGGAGGCGCTGGCTCTGGGGTACCTTCAACGGCTTTTGGATTCAGTGATTCGGGGTTTGGGGTTTAAGGTTTATAGGGTTTTGGGTGGGTTTTAGGGATTCGGGGTTTGGCATTGGGTTTTTGGGGGTTTCGGGTTTAGAGGTTGAGGGTGTAGGCATTACAGGGGCCCTCTAATCACATTTGTTCCTGGTGATTATGACTTCCTTATAGAAGTCCTGCAAAAGGAGGCTATCTGCGGTTAAGTAGGTGTTTTGTGCTTTAGGGTCCTTATAAAGCTTAAGAGCCTCCAGTGGGCAAAGACCCCTGTGACCCTTCTACTTGTAGTACTCTTTTGGGAACCTTTATGGTAACCCCTCTCGGCCTATCCGAGCCAGTTTTTTCGAGCCCTGCAAGAAACCCGAAAATTTCCAGGCCGGATGCCCTATGCGCCTAGGCGCCTATACTTACCACTATGGGCTATTAGACCCTAAAGATCCTTATTAGGACCCTATTAAGGGTAGATTAAGGTACCTTTAAGGTCTAATAGCCCATAGTGGTACAGGATACGACGACGCGGCTCAACACCCCGAACTCCAATGAGTCTGGTCACCACCCTAAACCCGGATACTGAAGGAGCCTCATTTCACAATAAGGGCTTGGGCGTCGAGGGGTTTAGGATTTCAGGCCGGGGAGTTTAGGGGGTTTGTGCTTCTCGGATTCAGGGGATCATAGGCCCAAGATTCCCTTGACATGCAAACCTGAACGATCCTGAAAGACCTCTGTTCCCCTTCTATAAACCCTCAACCCTAAGACCTAGGGTTTCGGGTTTAGGGTTTGGGGCCTGGCTGTGACTGCGCAGGAGCTGAAGCAGCAGAAAGCAGAGATGCTCGAGGCTGCTTCGTCGTGGGTCCAGATTACCACTGAGTTTAGTGATTCAGGGCCGGCATGGGAAAGTCTATCGGGTACCCTGACCTCGCCTGCCGCAAGAACTTGATAGATTGCTGTCCTTCGTATTCTACACTAGCCAGTTATTCCTGGACGTCGCATTCTGGGTGTTCACCTACAGAGACATACCTACCTTCACGGTATCAGGGTATGACCTTAAACAAGAAGCACATTCCTTAGAAGCTGCCCCCACCCTGTAATAGTGGTATAGTAGGAATATAACAGGGGCCCGAATATAATCCGTATAGTCACTCCCTAAGGCTCCATGTACCTTTATAGTAGATACTTAGGCCTTAAAGTACCTATATAGGGACCCCTTTAAGGCCAACAGGGTGGGGGCAGCTTCTAGCACATTCCCTTGTTTTCGGTACCTTGGTTTCTCTAGGTAGAGCTTCGGGCTGAAAAAAGAGTTTCTGGTTTAGGGGTTTAGGGTTTAGGGGTTTAGGGTTTAGGTTTAGGGTTTCTGCGCATCTTCTTCTACCGGATGCAGACTGCACGGGGGTTCCCAGCATCTCACCGTCGACCCTATACTTTTAGATCTTAGAACCTCCCGTTCAAGCAATATCCCTTCAGGCATGTTCAGGACGCCCCTAACGCGTTTTACTACTACAGCGAACACTTAGCTTGACCAGTATCTCGACCCTCCGCCCGAACCGCATCCAGAACCGGAAGCCTGAAAGGGACGCCGCAAACCCCGAGCACTAAGAAGAGCCTTACACCAATCCTGCCTGATGTTCTCTTGTGCTATTTAGGCGTTCATGAAGCTTAACAACTTGAAAGTAAGGTACCTACGGTCGCTGTAGACTACGTATACAAGGTACTTATAGCTGTACTTACTAAGTGCCATAAACCTCCAAGTAAACCCTAAACCCTGAAAGAGAAGCCCCTTATAGTGCCCTAGAGTATCCTTGAAAGGAGCCCTGAACCCTAGTTACTCAGTGCCATAAGCCTCCAAGTACCACGAACAGCGGAAGGCAGAGAAGAAAGCCCTGCACCGCCTGGCTCTGCGTGAGAAGGCCAGTCTCCGGGCTCCTTGCTTCTTCGAGTGGTCCGTCAAAATTTCGGCCCCTTCTTGGGTACCCGAAATCTTAGGTGCCGTATTATAATAAGGACCAAAAAGGGACCCTAATTTTGACAACCACCCGTTTGTCTCTGTGACCTCATGGGGGTTATATTCTAGTCACATGAGGTTTATGCTAGAGTTACTGCATATTAGAGTGTAGTCGACGTATATTAGAGTTTTATATTATAGCTATATGATCATAGTTACAGTTGAGTTCTATTATATAATGTATGTTTCCCGTTCATGGGTTTAGAGGGCTCAGAAGGTTTATGAACTTTGGGGTTGCGGGACCCGTCTTTCGGAAGCTTCGACGGATGCTCATGGTGCTGAGGCGTTCGGATGTCGAAAGTCCGCTCAAACCTCTTCCTCAGTGTCCATGTACCCAAATACCATATACTTTGGGCCTTAAAGTCGTCCCTATATAGGGACTTGGGGCCTAAAGTATATGCTATTTGGGTACATGGACCCTAAGGTAGGGTCTCAACGTAGGGCACGATCCCACCCCACCCCCCAGCCAACAAGCAAGCTGAGATCGAAACCCTACACTTAGCCCTGAAGCCACAAGCCCTATGAGCCTTAAACCGCAAAACCCCACAGGGTTTAGGGTTTAGGGTTTAGGGTTTAGGGTCCAGCTCGAAACCTGTAAGCCGTATTGTAGAGCCAGGCCCTGTCGGGCCTGAGACCCCCAAGCCTGGGAACCTGAGCCGGAACCCTGCCGGAACACTTAAACGTTTAGGATGTCGAGCTTAGGGTTCAGGCTTAAATCTGCGTGTCTTCCTTTACAACTCACCGAAAAATGGGCCCTGAATACCACACAAAGCCGGGTCCCCGCGACCGGAGGTTCCGAGATTTAGCCGCGTTCTGTAGGTGTGGAGTAGAAACCCTAAAGCCCGAAGCCCTATACTCGTAAAGCCAACCTTAACCTGTAGTGTGTAAGAACTAGAATAGGGTTTTGGGGCCCAGTGTACTATAATTAATCAGGATAAGGAACCCCCAAAATAGTATAGGGGCAGTGTAGGAACCTGATTAAGACAGCTTGGGTCTATATTAGGGTTCCTGATAATTTTATGAACCCTACTCTTTTGGGGTTATAGGCCCGGGGTTTCTTAATCAGGCTCCTACCTTAGAAAGCCCTAAGCCCCGAAGCCCTAAACCCTCAAAGCCCACCTCAACCTGCAGAAGCTTGCAATTATTTGGGAGCTTCCGAAAATGGGGGACCCTAGTATAGTACCCTAAATAGTAGGAGAGTTATTATAAGGACCACAAGATAAGGTACCCCTAATTGTGGGAAACTCCCAATGAGATAAGGGGAGCCCGGAAGTCCGACGCCTTCATAGGCATAGGTCCAAACAATAGGGTATACGAGCATGTATATATGTATATACGTATGTATATGTATGTGTATATATGTATATATATATATATATATATACATGTAACGCAGGGTTGTTGATAGTTGTAGCTATAGCGTACCGTTGTACTTACAGTTACATGTACAATAGTTCTGTTCTATGTTAGTTGATCTATACCACTCTACTCCTCTCGTTTCTATATTCTACATCCATAAATACATATCTATCTTTATATATATATACATATATATATATATGAGTGAGAGAGAGAGAGAGAGAGAGAGAGAGAGAGAGAGAGAGAGAGAGAGAGAGAGAGAGAGAGAGAGAGAGAGAGAGAGAGAGAGAGAGAGAGAAAGACAGAGAGAGAGAGAGCGAGCGAGCGAGAGAGAGAGAGAGAGAGAGAGTAGTTTTAGGGTGTTGCTGACTGGAGCTCGCAGGCCAATCAGTCTGTCGAGACCGCCCTTGCGCCGCTGAAGGCAAGCTGTTCAGGATATGTTCAATCCCTCAAGAGGAGCCCTATCATAGAACAATATCTAGACCCTATTATGGAAGCCCCTTATGGAACCCTTATTATGGAACCGTATTCTGGAAGCTTTTTTGAATGTTATAGCTGTTCAGGGTATGTTTGAAATTTTCCGGGCTTCGGCTCCGGGGATTTAAAATGTATAGTTTTCTTAGCACAATGTTCTGTGAGCTCAGTGTTCGAGATGCTACCGATAGAAGGCCTCGAAGTTCTTTCCCGCATAGAGGGATAAAGGATATGTATTCATATCATTATATATACGTACATACAGATGGACACGCATATCTGCCTACGAATGTGTATATATATATATATATACATACACATAAATACACAAATACATATGTATATATATATATATATATATATATATATATATTTATTTATGCACCAATAAATAAATAAATATATATATATATATATATATATATATATTTATTTATTTATATTTATGCATACATGTCGGGGGCATTCGGGGGCCTTGGGGTTGAGGGGTCTTTCATCAGCCTGGACAGCCATAGTCCGCCGCGAGCATGAAGCTGCCAGAACTTAAGACTTCTTCCATAGCCTCTAATATCGAATTTGCAGGGTTTTTTCTAGAAAAACTAATAGCCTCTAATATCGGATTTAGAGGGTTCCTGCGACGAAAGAGTTGGAGCTTTGTAGTTTAACGGCGATCGATCTGCTATCATGGTGGAGGATGCTGTGAGATGCGGCAGGCCTTGCCCCAGCAACTGCGCGACGAGCAGACGAAGCTGCGTGCTGAGGCCGCGAACAGTTAGCTTTAAGACTGCACGCGGTCGCGTTTAGGGTTCAGGGCTTCAGGGTTTAGAAGGAAGGTTAGCATCAGCTGTACTTACCGCAGTTTCGTTCTTTGGTTTGTGCATCTGCTACGGATAGCTCTGTAATTAGTCCCTCAGCCACAACAGAAAGCTTCCTTTTTATGCAAAGTCTGCTGGGAGTTCTCAACTGCGCCTCCTGCGCAGAGACTACCTCCCGAAGGGTCCAGTAATAGTATACCTTGGGGCCGAAATAACCCCTACGAAGTACCTACTTTATTGGTACTTGGACCCTCGGGTTTTTAGATCTTGCGATATCTTGCAAAACATATTGAAGGATGCCTTTCCTCGCTTCGCAACCACGGTTTAGGGTTTATTGCTTAGGGTTTAGGGTTTAACATACCTGGACCATTGTGGACCCTTTTACAAGCCTTCCTTTTAGGGCTCCGTCACATGCTTTCCTTTACAGATAAGTCCCTAAAAGTGTAGGTTATTCGGGGTGCAGGGAGGGTCAGCCTGAAGATTCCCATCAGCATATATTTACCTAGAGCGTGGTTCAGGGTTTAGGTGAGGCTTTAAGACTTACAGGGAGTGGGGTTGCGCCCAAGTCCTGAACAGCATGTAAAACAGATGCGCTTTCTCGAGCTTATCCTATCAGTCCCCTCTTTGCTCCATCCCCAGACAGTCTCAGAAATCTTGAATTTAAAATCTGAACCTCCTTCGAGCGAAAAATCATCTGCAAAGGGTTTCGGGCTTATAGTGTTCTTGGGCTCTGATTTCCACTGATCGCATGCGATGTTGGTCAGTCCGCACGGCAGGTGCAGCAGATGGGACAGACTTTTGTTGGCGAGATCGCCAAGATGGTGGAGGGCACAAAGAAATTGAAGGCATGGCTACATGCAGGGTTGAGGGCACGGGACTCGTAAATTCACGGGGTTCAGGGTTTGTCGACAGTGAGGTTTGCAGTCAAGTTTCCAAGAAATAGACCAGGCCGCCCCGCAGCATAGGGCTTCAGTGATTGGGTGAGTCTTGGTTTGCGGGCTTCCGGCTTTGAGTTTAGTCTGTGCAAACGTTCCTTTTTAGGGTTCAAGGTTTATAGGGCTTAGGGCATGTACTGTGTTCAAAAGCGCCCAGTATCGAAGCCGAAGAAATACAGACACCAAAGGGAGATAACATCCACCGCAAATTGAGACTAAATGGGAGTTTCCAAAAATTAGGGGTACCCTATTTGGGGGTCCTTATAATAAGGATCCTATTTTAGGGTACTATATTAGAGCCCCCTATTTTCGGAAACTCCCAAATGTCTGCACATCATCCGACCCTCTACTCGCAGTACCGAAGCTCGCAAAGTGCAAGCCATCCAAAACCCTATACTAAGCTTGAAACCCGCAACGCGGAATTTCTTTATGTGCCGAAGACGCTGAATTTTGCAGCATCGCATGGAAGACAGTGAAGGCACTCTGCAACTAAGCCCTGGCACCGTAGACGAAGGCTCCAAGCCTCAAGCATTTAACGCCAACTTGTATGCCGAGACCGAAACACAAAACATGTAGAACTGCATGTTCTGCTTACGGTTGCTGATATAAATCCTTGCATTAAGGACCCTAAACTATGGGGAATATGGTATATTCCTTATTTCGGTTAATGCAGGATTTCTATCATCAACCGTACTATTTAGGGCACTTATAACTCCATTTAGGGTACTTATAACTCTACTTATAACCTACTTGTTAAGTCCCCTGCCCTCCAAGTAGGATCCTTGACAAGCAATCCTTTACGAGCTGCCCTCCAGAAAGAAAGCGATCGCCTTCTCGAGCCTTGAGCCTAAACCCCTAACTCCCTCACGCCTAAACCCCTACACCCCGGCCCCTAACTCCTTAAACCCTAAGCTCTAAACCCCTAAACCCTAAACTCTAAGCCCCTAAGCCTCTAAACCCTACAGTCTGAATCCCTAACCCCGTAAACCCTGAACTCTAAATCCCTCAACCCCTAAACCCCGGTATTATAGTATAGTAGAATGTAGGGCTGCTGAATCAGGAATCAGTCTAATGATTGGGGACAACTACTTAGAAGCTGCCCCCACCCTGTAATAGTGACTACAAGGAATATATTCGGGCCCTATTATATTCCTACTATACCACTATTACAGGGTGGGGGCCCTTTCTGAGAACTACCCATATGTGATGAGGAGAGGTCCAAGTCCCTCGAAGAGAAGTACAAGTCTGCCCTCGAGGCCTCTGGGCTCAGGTTTCGGGGTTTAGGGTTTTAGGGCCTCAGAGTTTAGGGTTTAGGGTAGGGTTTAGTGTTTGGGTTTAGGGTTCTAGGGTCTTAATGATTCGAAAGGTTTTTTTTGGGGGGTTGCGTATTATCATAATCATGGTATAGAATACCCCAAACCCATTCTAATAATTTAGGCCCCTACATTAGGGTTTTAGGGCCTGCTCGCGACCTCCCTTCCCCACTGCTGAGAGGTTAAGGAGTTTAGGGTTTGCGGGTTTTGGGTTCAGGATTTTGTTTTTGGGCTTTTGTCGTTTTGTCGTATTCTGAAGACTTGCATTCCGTCTGGTATCTTCGATTATGGTGGTTCATTATGTTCGTCTTGCATTGCAGCGGTTTTGGGTCTCCTGGTGGTTTGGCCGATTGGGTTCAGGTTTGCAAAGGAACGTGGGTTCAAGACCTTGAGTAGCACACACTGCAATACTGTAGTAGTTTTGAGTTTTGTTCTGCATTGCTTACGCACATAGTAAAACTGCTTGTCCTTAGTTATCTGTACTTGAATATCATTGGGAATGCGTATGTTGGGGTTTGGGAATACATATGTTCGGGTGTTAGCAACAACCCTGAGGGTCCGTGTACTCGTATAGTATATACATTGGCCCTTAATGTAGTCCCTGTATAGGTACTTTGGGGCTCATGTATCTCTATACGGGTACATGGACCCTTAGGGTAAAGAACTGAGGGCGTCGTGGTTGCCGGCCAACAGGGTATTTAGATGTTTAGGGTTCAGGGTCGAGGCTTGAAGTAGCGAGGTTACCGCTCCTCATGCCCCGAGACTCCTTAAGGAATATATATATATATATATGTATATACCTTACATCACATTAGGGATCCTACTATTACTATAAGTTCAGGCATATTCCTTAGTTAAGCTTAAACCCTAAACCTGAACCCGAGACCGCAGTTGTCGGGCGAGGCGATGCCGGTGGAGACTCCGCACTTCATGGGTTGCTAAACAGTGCGCTGAAGATAAAGGGCTCTCCACTTCCTCGTGCGGTTCTGAACCTCAAACCCTGCCGGGGTTCATGGCGTCCTGGCGGAATATTGAAACGTATTGGCTCCCTGCTTCTGCGTAAGGCATAATTAAGTACCAGCATCAGGGCAAACTTTCACCGTGCATGCAACCTCCGGATTGTCTTCGGAACATCATCTTATGACGGCGGATTCCGCTAGGGTTCTGCAGGGGTTTATTATAGGCCTTGCCGGAGGTGGTCTATAGGGCGGCACCGTAAAAACAAACGGCCTGGGGTTCCATGATGTTCAATGCACAGCATTCGCTGAAGGGTAGAACTCCCAGCTTCCCAAGGCCTAAGCCTCCATGTACCTAGACAGTATGAATTTAGGCCTGAAAGTGCGTATACATAGGAACCCCTTAAAGGCCAGTTTCTAACTATACTATATAGGTACATGGAGCCTTTGGGAAACCTTATCCTAGACTCTGAGTCTCAGGGCATGGCTTGGGCGCCTAGGGCCTACTTAGAGGTTGGAGGTTCATGGGACTTAGTAACTATGGGTGACAACAAGGTAACTATACTTATAATTGGTTATAACCCCATTTAAGGAACTTTTCACCTTTCTTACTTTGTCCCATGATCCTCCAGGTAGGGCCCGCGGTTTAGTTAAGCTCCATGCCCCAGGACCGAAAGAAGCTGCAAGACACCGTCGCAGAGCTGCAGGTGCACAGACTTAGATATTCCAGCAACCCTTACAGAACCGTGAAGAAGACCCTGCCACAGGAACCCGTCTAGACCCCATAATAATACACCCTTATGTAACCGCAAATCCCTTCCCTCAATCTTAAACGCGGGGAGCCCCCTCCCCAATAGAAACTCTGATCTTTTCAACTATGAGGGGGTATTTAGTTTTTATCTCTACTATCACTTTTGAGGGCTCTTGCTCTTGCTCCTGCGCGGGCTTTTGCTCCTGCTCCTGCTGCGTCCGTTGCTCTCGCTCCTGTGTCTGCTCTTGCTCTTGCTGTTGGTCCTGCTCTTCCTCCTGATTCTGCTCTTTCTCCTGCTCTTGCTTTTGCTCTTACTCCAGCTTTTGCTTTTGCTCTTGCTGCGGACCCCCCGAATTAGGTTTTAAAGGGCAGGGGTGATTTCGGTAGGATTGGCCCCAATGCATCTTTATGACTTATATAGGGGGTGCTTAATAAATCGGGGAAGGATTAACCCCCTACAAGCCTAAACCGACTAACCCCCTACAAGCCTTTAAACCGTCCCTCCTGGAGCTTCGTTCGGCTTCTAGGCTTTGGCTCCAGGAGCTGAGGAGATCTCATGGCTTGCATGGTGGAGTTTTTGGTACCTGGAGCCTATAAAACCTTCCTTCTAAGCTTCCGCTTTAGTCCTTTTTAAAAGTCCTTTAAAAGCTAGGAGTTATTTGGGGTTAAGGTAGGGCTCAGAACTCGGTTAAGGAGTTGCATAGTGTTTTTTTAAAAAATCATTGGGCTTTGAATAGTTCCCCAAGGGTCCAAGTACCCAATAATCATATACAGTACTCTCCAAAAACCTAACCTACAGAACTACTACCCTAAAACCGAGTACCTAATTATCGGGTGCTTTGGACCCTTGGGGGTTACTGGTGCTATTACCTTACTTATCGTGCTTAATTACCCATAATCTGCCAGTCCGCAAAAACCACTGTTCGATCATAAAGGCCCCTATGCAGTACCAAACCCTTACAGTAACCCTCGTAGAACCATTTCAGGAACCCTTTAAAGCCTGGGGCTCTAAGGACTCATATATTAAGGCTTTTGGGCCCAAAGACCATACTATATAAGGCTTTGGGGCTATTTTGATGCCCAGGGAAAGACACCTTATTCTAAGCATTGAGGATCTTTAGATTTCACGAGCATGTGAGACTTCGATACACTCTCCGATGGCCTGGCATAAACCTTCTCACACGCTGATGCAATGGACCTGGACAACCATAAGTATGCACACAAAAAACATCTAAGACAGGTATACCGCAGAACTTGGATGAAGTCAGTTTCGACATGCAGCACCCCACAGGCCTAAATCACACCTCCAAACCGAAAACTCCCAAGACTCTGGTACAGGCACAAGACTCGGAGCAACCTCAGCCAAAGAAGAAAGCCGCACCGAAAGGCTCCGAAATTGCAGGAATCCGGTGTAAGTTAGGGTGTACGCTTAAGTTCAGGGGCTTAGGGTGAAGTTCTGGGTTCAGGGTGAGAGAGTCTGCGTAGGTTTTGGGGTTATCGAGTGTTCTGTGGACTCTGTACGTGCTTGGGTAGTTGTGAAAATTAGAGTCCCTTTTGGGGTACCCTAAATACTAGGTGCCGTATGATATTAGTATTAGGGACCCACAAGGGACCATAAGTTTGACAACCACCCGCTTGTATGTGCAAGAGCTGGGGATGAAGATGGACTTACCCTAAGGGTCCATGTACCCCTGTAGAGATACATGAGCCCCAATGTACCTAAATAGGGACTACATTAAGGCCAATGTATATACTATATGAGTACATGGACCATTAGGGTATTTATTGGGTTCGGTAGAGGGTATCGGGGGCTGCTGGATTATGTGCATGGTTACTCCAGGGTCCTATGCGCTACTCGTAGTGGCAGCAGTGGGTTCTCTACTCCAGCTTAGGGGCGGGATGGGGGTGGTGGCACAACCCCTAAACCCTAAACTCTACACCCGCACACCCGCACACCCCCACACTAATGCCACAAAACCCTAATTACACCCGAAAGCCTTCATTAAACCCCAAATCTTTTCTGGCTCAGCTTCACCCTAAACCCTGAACCCACCACCCTAGACCACACACCGCAAACCCACACCCTAATCCCGAAACACTAAGCCCCAAATTCTGTTCTGGCTCAGCTTCTTTAGGGAGCTGTTAGCTTTCAGGCCTCAAACAAGGGCTTATTAGGGTCTAGGTTTTAGTGTTTAGGCTTTTAGGGTTTATAAGGGTTTTAGGATGTAGGGTTTAGGTTTTAGGGTGTAGGGTTGAGCGTTTAGATCCAGGAGAAGCCCCAAAGCGTAAACTCCAAGGATCCTACTTAACTAGGATGCCCAGTAGTACCCTTATTCCCTTTTTGTTGTCCTAGGTTCGTAAAACAGCTACCCAATACCAAAAAGAGAGGCCTTTTTATTCTTAGGTTACTGGGTATCCTAGTTAATGTAAGACGTATATTCCTTAAGTAGGGTGTTTGGGAGTCTGTGAGAGTTCAGGCTTTTCGGTTCAGGGGTAGGGTTTGGGGGTTCAGGGTTTAGGGTCCAGCGCTTTAGAGTTCATGAAAAACCTCAAGAGCAGATTTTCTACATCGTAAACCCAGGAACCCTCATTTCCACGTTCTGAGTTTTGACCCTAAACCCTAAACCCTGAACCCGAGCAGTTGGGTTTGCAGTGTGAAGTCGTCATGCCGGATGAACGGCCTCAGGGTTTAGGGTTAAGGTTAGAAGCTGCCCCGACCCTGTAATAGTGACTATAAGGATTATAGTAGGCGCCTATTATATTCCTATTATACTACTATTACAGGGTGGGCCCTTCTAAGGGTTAGGGTTAACTCTTGTTGGCTGTACTCTCAGCTTTTCATCTTTTGGGGTGCTTATAAGGTAGTCGATTCTGAAAGTTTCATCTTTGGTTTGCTTGGGTTTTGGGCCAGTGAAGTGAGAACTATGGTTCCCAGCAGTATTTAGGTAAAAGAACCCTTACTGTGTAGAGTTCTTTTTCACTGGTCAGTCCCATGACCATTTTAGTTATAGGTGTTGTAACCTGGTTTATAGCCCTAGTTAACAAGTCCTGGTTTATAGCAGTAGTTCCAAAACCCTAAATTCTAAACCCATGATCCATTAAGTAGGTTCTGAACCCTAAACCCTGAAGGGACCCCATTATAGAACCCTATAGTGTATAGGTCCCATGATCCTTTTAGTAGCATTTCATTCCTTCCAGCCTTGAAGGCAAATAGGCGCTGCCAAGAATCCTGAGTGGCGTGGCATCATGGATAGATCCCTAAGGCTCCATGTGCCTATTATTAAGGGGTCCTGTAAGGGCTCTATAAGGGTATCATAAGGGTTTAGGGTTTAAGGGTTTACGGTACCGATATAGTAGGTACATGGAGCCTAAGGTGATGGCCGCAGTCTTGGAAACGTCGCCCTGGGATCCATGTACATTGTTTATAGGGGGTTCCTTTGAGGGAAGTATGCCATTTGAGTTGACGCACAGGGGTTCATTTATTCGTAGTTAGGCCATGTTAAACCCTAAAGTACCCCTGCAGGAACTGCTTCACCCGTTAATGCCCAAGTACAACCTGTATAAGTACACGGACCCATACCCAGAGGGTCTATATATGGTCAGGCGCCTGGCGTTCCCAGCCCCCCCCAAAAAAAAAAAAATGGTATGGTCTGCTATAGGGGTGGGGGGGGGGGGGGCTGGCGTGCGCAGAAAGGGGTCGGGGCTGTTGGAACTGCCACTGGATGCTGGGATGGTGCTGGCGGCCAGGGCTCGCACGCAAGCCCTTCGCAAGCAAGCCGTAAGCCCTATAACGCAGCGCGTGCTCCTTTTTTGAGTACCCTTAACTTGTACTTCAAACCCTACACCCAACCCTAAACCCCACCTAGCTGTAGGCCCTAAGCCTAAAGCAGAACATACACCGCAAATCCTCCCTAAGCCCTTGTCGACTTGAAGCGCTGCACCTAAACCCAACACTCAGAAGCTTAAGCTAAATCCTAAATCCCAAAACCCCACAACCACCCCACAGCGGGAAGATGGACCCCCACACCCCACACCACAGGGGAGGGGGGTCCCACCCTTTATCCGGACCATTGACCTTTGGGGGGGGGGAGGGGGGAGGGGAGGGGAGTGCGTGACCATTTCTGATCCCGGTTTTCGGTTCATCGAACCCCCCCCCAATGGTATCCCCCCCCCCCCCCCACGCTCCCCAAGCCGAATCTGTGTGTCCACACGAGGGCTCACACGCCAAGCCCACGCAGGAAACCCAAACCGCACCACACCACAGAACCACACCACACCACAGGGAGGGGGAAGCAACCCACAACCACACCACACCACAGCAGACCCACGGAGGAAACCCAAACCACACCACACCACAGGGGGGAGTGGGGTAACCAGCCTAAGCAGACCCACTCCCGAACCACACCACACCACACCACACCACACCACCCCACCCCACGCCACGCCACACCACACCACACCACACCACACCACACCACACCACAGGGAGGGTGAAGCAACCCACAACCACACCACACCACAGGAGACCCATGCAGGAAACCCAAACCACACCAAACCTCAGGGGGGAGTGGGGTAACCAGCCTAAGCAGACCCACTCCCGAACCACACCACACCACACCACAGGGAGGAGGAAGCAACCCACCACACCACACCACAGGACGGGGAGGAGGAACCATTAGGGGGGGGAGGGGGGGGGCCGGCCGAACCAGGATCATATATACTACCATTATGGAACTAGGTTCCCCAAACCCATATAGGGATGGTCTTTGGGACCTAATTCCAGAATAGCAGCATGTATGGGCATCTAGGTAAGGATATGGTGCCGTCTCAATGGACGTTAAGGGTTGAGGCAGCAGCGATGCCAACAACTGCAGTGACAAAGCAGACAGTATGATAGCAAGGCTGCAAGAACCCGAGGCCTTGGAAATCCCAAGCCCCAAAACCCTGAACCGCAAGTTTCAACTACATCATGATTCATGGATACGATGTCATGCTTCCCTTTTCAAGCATACCGTCGGCTTCTGAACAGAATGCCGTGCTGCGTCTCACCTTTGTAGCGCTTCTGGTTTAGAGTGGCTAGAGCACACCATCGGTTTGAGCGGCATCTAGGGTTTATGAGGCTGAACAATAGACTCGACAGTTTCTCGCACCGTGCTGTCATTGCTCGGGACGGCTTCTGAAGAGAAAGAGCGCTCTTTTGCGTGGCCTAAGAACCCAGGGCGATGACAGGCAAGCAAACTAGTCACCTGTGCCGCCGTTAGTCTTCACATTTTCTATGGAGGAGCTTTTCTCTGATATCTAATGTTGGCTCAAGATACTTCACTGGTTTTCTGCATGTGCATCACAAGGAAGGTACTTGGCCAGTCTAAACTATGGATCCTTAATCGAAACCAATGATCGTAATTTGGGTCAGACAAATGCCCAGTGTCCGAACATTAGTCAAAGTGCAGCCGTGGGTTCGCTCCGAGGGCGAATTATGTCGATAAATGTGGCGGTGAGCCTTCTCAGTGGCAGGACAGTTGCTGTCAAGGTGGGCTTGGATGATGATGTTGCAACGCTGAAGCTTCTGGCGCAGACGGCACTTGAAGTCAGGACTGGGTTTTTGGTAGACTCATCTGGAAACGTTCTGGACGCAAGGGCACTGATCAAGGACACCATGCTGGAGAATGATGCATCATTGACCCTGCAAATCAGCAGAGTCCAAGCCTGTGGAAGTCTCAGTGCTTTTGCTGCCGTTCTTGGCGATCGATTGGTCGCGACCTGGGGCGATGCAGACAATGGTGGGGACAGTAATGCCGTGCAGGGTCAATTGCAGAACGTGCTTCAAATCCAGGCCGGTCGCTGTGCTTTCGCTGCCATTCTTGGAAATGGATCTGTCGTGAGCTGGGGTCATCCTGTTTTCGGTGCCAACGCTAGTGCTGTGCAGGATCAGCTAAAGAACGTCCAGCAGATCCAAGTGTCTTCGACTGCTTTTGCCGCCATTCGTAATGATGGATCCGTTGTGACCTGGGGCAATGTTGGCACTGGTGGTGACAGCAGTGCTGTGCAGGACCAGCTGCAGAATGTAAGGCAGATTGCAGCCTCTGACTTTGCTTTTGCTGCCATTCGGGCGGATGGATCAGTTGTGAGCTGGGGTGATGCAGGTTTTGGCGGCGACAGTACTGCTGTTCAGGCTCAGCTGAAGAAGGTGCAACGGATCCAAGCCAATGGCGGAGCTTTTGCTGCCCTTCTTGCCGACGGATCGGTGGTGACCTGGGGTGATGCAAACTGCGGTGGTGACAGCAGCGGCGTCCAGGATTCGCTGAATAATGTGCAGCAGATACAAGCGACCAGCTCTGCTTTTGCAGCCATCCGCGGCGATGGCTCTGTCATTTCCTGGCGTAGTGCTCGCCATGGCGGTGACAGCAGGGCTGTGCGGGATCAGCTGAAGAACGTGCAGCTGATCCAAGCCAATCAAGATGCTTTTGCTGCCATTCTTGGAAATGGATCGGTCGTGACTTGGGGTCATGCTGACCATGGTGGTGACAGTAATGCTGTGCAGCATCATCTCAAGGATGTGCAACAGATCCAAGCCAGCGACAGAGCTTTTGCAGCCGTCCTTGGCGATGGATCGGTCGTCACCTGGGGGCTTGCTGCCTTCGGTGGTGACAGTAGTGCCTGAGTAGTTGAGTTTATAAACTTTAAACTTTTTGGGATAATGACACCCTCTTAAAACTGAAAGTTTAAACTTTTTTGGGCTTATGAACTCGGCAACAAAGGTGCTGTGCAGGATAAGCTAACAAATGTGCAGCAGATCGCAGCCAATGGCAACGCTTTTGCAGCTATCATTGGGGACGGATCGGTTGTTACCTGGGGTCATGAGCGTAAAGGTGGCGACAGTAGCGCTGTGCGGGATCAGCTGAAGAATGTGCAGCAGATCCAGGCTGCCAGGGACGGTGCTTTCGCTGCCATCCTTGCCGACGAATCGGTCGTGACTTGGGGTGCGGCTGACCCCGTCGGTAGGTGTTAGGGTATGCGGTATAGGCGGTATAGGGTCTTAGTGTTTCGGGTTCAGGGTCAGAAGCACTATGCGGCCTGCATCCCGATCCTTTTGTTTCCGGCTGTTCCCTCAGAAGTGGACAGTGTGGTACGTAACATCCATGCATGTCCCCTGTATTCGGGTGTGAACCCAGCAGGCCGTTGCAAAAGGGTCAGAGGCTTTTCGTGCAGTGCAGCCTCATCCGACGCAGTCTTGAGTCTTTGGCATTTCCATGCTGAGGTCTTGCTGCCATGACCTGAAGTTTCAGGTTTCGAGAGTGGGCCAGTGTGAGGGTCGACTGAGCTTCCCTCCCTGCCTCCTCCAGGTGCGCCTGCACTTGAGCCACGTGGACGCAGAGGGCTCTGCCCGAGCGATGGAGCTTTTCAAGCTGTCCTGGGCTGAGCTCTACCTATAGTCTCCATTGTAGTTCCTTTTTTTGGTTAACCAAATTCTCTATTATAGGGTCCTAACCATAAAACTGGAAAACCAAACAAAGGAACTACAATGGAGACTATAGGTACTATTGGAAAAGCTCGCCTTGTCTTGCGCATATCAAAGCGCAGGGGAGCTGAGGGCCTGAAAACATGCTTGTCATAGCATGCACATCTCAAAAAAGTGGTACGACATAGTTCCTGAAGTAGACCTCCTGGCTGACATTCCCAAAGGCTCCATACACCTTTATAGTAAAATACTTTGGCCTTAAAGTAGTGCCTAAAAGGGCACCTTAAGGCCTAAGTATATACTATTTGGGCACATGGAGCCTTAGGGATTAACGTAGAAACCTAGATGATTACCTGTAGGATTCCTTAGGCCTCAAAACCTCCTCCAGTATACGAGAATATACCTGCAAAACCCTGTTCTGTTTGTGGAGCCCCGTATACAAAACGCCCTCATAGAACCCTTATGGCAACCTTTCTATAGACGATCTCTACGCCCTACGCCTTGCAACTCCCGATAAGTAGTCCTTACTTTAGTAGCCGTACTCGTAAACTCAAAAATAATCTGCACATATATATATATATATATATAGATGCATATATTTCTGCATATGCTCTCGGGTCCCAGCCCCCCAACCCCCCTACCCCCCCCGGTATCCGGCCGGTCCCCGGCCCGCCCCTGCTCCCAGCGGTCCCGCACAACCGGAACGAACCCACGCAAACCAGAGGGAGGGCGGACGATCGAGAATGATCCCAGCC